GCTTCCCCTCCTCTCTCCTCGGCTCCCCTCCTCAGTCCTCCGCTCGCATCTCCTGTGGGCGGGACTAACTCACGAGGATAGGAGTCAAGGATAGGAGTCGAGGAGGGGAAATTTAAGAATTGAGAAGCCTCTTCTGTCTCTTGTTTGCTTCCATAAAACGTCACAGATTACCCATCATGTCTGGCTATCAGAGCAGAAGAACCCGTATGAGCGCTCACAGAGCATGCGCAAAAATTTTTTGTTGTTTTGTGTCAGTTTTACGTCGCCACTTCCCTTCACATTTTTCATCATTGCTCCACAATGTTTATCATCATTAAATGAATATCTATATATGTTATACTATACTTGCACTGCTTACCGTTTTCATACTTTATATATATTAGCATATTCATACACACTGTTAATACTGTTCATAGGCTACTGCTCACAGGCTGCTATGTATATCTAGTGTATTCATACCCCTCACTGTTTATTCATCATTCAATTCATTCTATATTTTATTCTGTATTCTTGTGTACATTACTGTTCACTTTACTGCTTGTTGTACTCCTGGTTAGAAGCTAAACTGCATTTCGTTGTCTCAGTACCTGTAATCTGTGCAATAACAATAACGTTGAATCTAATCTTGAGCAGGAACAAATGTATTTAATTAGTACATATCTGACATTAACGATTAAACACATTTGTGCATTCTTTATAAATGCAAACCGAGTAAAGCCGACTCCGAGCTGTCCGAATTCCGGCGAGCTTTTTGAGACCTCCCCCGGCTGCAATCGGCTATTCTCGTCTACTTTCGAGGCGAGCCGCAGCTCATCTCAAACAAGCCGTTCTGATTATACATCCATGAAACAAGCCTATATTAGTAACGTCGCTAAAAACAGATTTAACCAAACGGAAGTGGTCACTCAGAGGGGCAAAGAACGGTTTAAATATAGGCTACTCTGACCAATCTGAATAACACTTAATATATCTGTTGAAACTACTTTTACATAGCACATATTCAAGAAAGGCCTTAAATAGTGTGTTAATGGGTCCGTACCTCGGTTAATCCAGATATCTTCTTGGGAGGGGGGGGGGGGCTTCTTCCTGGAGAGAACAGCGCGTGGGCCCTGATTCAGGAACGTGACTTCAGGAACACAGAAGCAGCTTTATAAAGACTAAAGTTACAGGAGAGCGCGTGCTGCTCTGACATCTAATGTAACCAGATGTGAAGTATGTTCACTCTCTTCCTGTTGTGGTTCCCCAGCGGTCATGTGACCAAGTCATGTGACACACAGTTTAGGGTGGCGCAGTGCCTTCAGGCGGCGACATGTGCAAATATCTTTATCTGCTATTAGGGTTTGCATGCTGAGTGTGTGAATCCCGAATGTCATTAAATATTATATATATTTAAAACTTTGATAATACAACTGTCAGAAAATCCTGTGAGAGAAAACTGTCGCATAATTAACGCATAATCATGATTACTTGAAATGTACTTGCAATTAACAGAGCATAACAATAGAAAGTACATTAATACAATTAATATAATATATACTCAACAACTTTAACTTGAATATAAAACAAAGCAGTTGTAGCAGAGTTACTATGATTACAAAGTGGACAACAACACTCAGCTGTTCTGCATAGTTACTATGGCAACAGGTAAACAAGAAGTTCAGAGACAGAGGAAATGTCTGTGAGAAGAACAGAAAGAGCACCAGAGGTTTTTTCAGAGGAGGCGATGAGGAGTGCTGAGGAGGAGGCCTTCGAAGAGGTGCTGATGGAGGCCGCCCCCCCCACTGCTGTGAGCAAAAACCTTAGACCATCTAAACAACAAATCGTCCCCAAAATCCCAGAGGCAGTGGACGACTTCCTGAGAAATGTCCTCCAGAGAGCGGGACTGGGCCGGACTATGATCAGCTTCGAGGAGGAGTGGTACGGCTTAGCGCAGAAACTCCTGACCCAGACCCTGAGGAGGGCAGGAGTCCTCCTCGTGCCTGATGCGCTTACACACAGGCAGCTGATCCAGGCTCAGCTGGACACTGTGCACAGAGACACAGACCTGCTCAGACAGGAAGTGCTGCATGCAGGGGAGCATCTGCTGAGGACGCAAAGGGAGAGGGATTTCTACCGGCTGCAGTACCAATGTGTCGCCGAACACAAAAGCAGGCTGATGGAGGACCTCCACCAGCTGAAGAAACAGCTGCAGTCCTACAGGCCGGCACTGAGGCGGCTCGAGGACACCATTCAGGAGGCTCTCAGGAAGAAAATGCTCCTTAGTTTAAAGAAAGACAGAGTTCAAAACTTCAAAGCACTGAATCAGCAGGATTCCCAGATCAAGAAAGAGAGAAACATTAAAAGTGGCGGCAGTGGGCCACAGGACACCCAGGCCCCACACTCAGAGGACACCGGGGTTCCCACCTGCAGCAGGGGGCCGGAAACTGAAAATGAAACCATGGAAACCCCTCTCAGCCTGTCCTACTCCATCAGAGCCCACAAGCTTCCTATCAGCTGCATCCACCTCCATCCACGAAAACTCATCGTCGCCTCCGCCAGTGATGACTGCAGCTGGAGGCTATGGCTGCTTCAAGCCCACGGAGAGAAGGTAAGAGAAGGTGTTAATAATAGTAATAATATATATAAAGCTTTGTATACTATAGCACGTTTCATACCCCTGGTGCAGCTCAAAGTGCTTTCACAACCTCTACACATCACAAACTAAAACAGAGAAGAAGAAATTCCCTTCAGGTCAGACGTGAAAACCTTTTTGCACACATGCAGCATAACAGCTAATATAACAATTCAAGGGACACAAGGGGGTAAAGTAGGTATGATAATAACAATATCATACAACAAAATGAATAATGATCGCTCTCAAAGACAAAAATGATTAAATAAAAGAATGAAACCTATAAAATAAATGAGTAGATAAAGCAGAAATATGCTGGGTAGCCTATATCTCTGTCATCAGCCATATGTTCTCCCATCATAACAATGCAACAATCAAACCAAAATGTAGCAACTTGATGAGAGTTCTCTGCTGCTGTATGCCACTGTAGCAATGATACATGAGATGGGACTAGAACACTAGATCATTGTTGAGAGGTTAACACGATTGTATCTGACAGGCTAAGCCTTGCAGGGGTGGCAAATATGGAGCTAATTTCCTGACATAACTCCACAAACAAACCAAACAGGTTTTACAAATGCCTCATGATTCACTAACAAACACAATGTGGTTTGCAAATACAAAACACCATCTACAAACTAATGCATTTAGTTTTGCAAAGAAAAAACGTATCTATCAAACAAACACATACCATTTTTCTAATAAATCATGTTTCAGAGACAAATTCAGCATAGGTTTTACAAGAACACACATTTTTTTTACAAATACAACACTTTTTTTTACAAGGACAAAACTTCTTTTTACAACTACAACACTTTTTTTTACAAGTACAAAACTTTTTCTTCTCACGGCTGAATATTACTGCCAAAAATGTTATTAGGGCTGTAAATATTAATATATAAGCCTTTGTAAGCCTTTGTCTAAAATGGACAACATTGCAACTAAGGAGATTTAAACCATTTAAACAGCGATTCTGCACTCTTCATTTTCTTTCCTGCTATATTCAATGAGTGATACAAATATTTTTGACCACAAGTTTTTAATAAAACTGACACTGTTGGACTCGGTACTAGTTGACTGCTACCAGAAATAAAAGGAAGTACTTTACTGTGTACTTTGTAAGTAATCCTCTGTCAGAGTCCCCTCCATAGTAATGCATGTTTTCTGCTATCTTTGATGAATGATACAAATAAAATGTTACCATTAGTTTTAATGAAATTGACACTGTTTGACTTTGTATTAGTAAGCTTACTACTAACAATACATTGAAATACTTTTACCGTGTATTTTTTGAGGAATCCTCTGTCAAAGTCCCCTGCTGAGAACAAAATCAAGCCACTTCTGCTAAGTTTGATGAGGGAATTATTTTTTGCTGCCATTAGTTCTTTGTGAGATTGATGCTGTTGGACTCAGTACTACTGAAACTACACCCACAAGCACTATGAAGTACTTATTGTGTACTTTTACAGTAATCCTCTATCTATCCTCTGTCCCCTCCTGACTACAAGAATGCATGTTTTTCTTTTAATAAGCATTAAAAAACACTTCTTCCTGAGACTGATATTGTTGGACGGAGTATTTTAAGAGGATGGTAGACATGATTATCCGCAATACTTCCAGTCAGTACTCTGGCAGCAGCATTTTTACCCCTTGGAAAGTCTTTAGAGTCTGGCTTGGACAGCTGGTCACAACTATCCTTCAGCAAAGTGACACACTCTGTCACTCTGGTTGGCCTCTTATGATGCTGCTGTCTTTTAATATATCATTATTCCTCTGGCGCTAGTTCGTTCCTCGCAGATTCTTCAGTCTCATCAGCCTCATCCTTCCATCAGTCCTAGTCAACGCCTCCAGTACACTTCCAGTGTCTGACTCCATATGATATTGTCCTGATGCTGTAAGGGTGATGCCCCACGATCACAAAATGACCCCTCTAGAGTCTGAGTGCCAAGGACCTCATATTATGTCCGTCATTAATGTTACATCACCCATTTTAACAGTTTTCTTTCCTTTTTCTCTTCTCTTAACTGAATAGTCCTGTATTTAAGTATAACCCAATGTAAAGTCCTTTTCCTGCACCATTTTAAGGCTTCAAAACAGCCATTTTTACTGTATGTGTTTGGAGAAATGACACAATAAATGGCCCAGAATTGTACTTGATAAACTATGAATCTTGTGGTGCTCGAAGAAATACACACTGGCTAAGCCGGACAGGTTATATATATGCCTTTTTTGGAGCCCTTTTTTGCGATTTTATTAAAATTTTACTAGTTATTTAAACAAACCACTATCTGAGGATAATACAAGCAACCATAAAACGCCCTTTATCTAGAGAGCCATTGAAGGCCATGAAGAATGGATCCTTCCACAAATCTTTTCATCTGCTGTATTAATAAAGCTGCCACGTGTTTTCAAATTCAAGTTAAGGCACTACCTGTGCAGAACATTAAAAATATTCTTCATTTGCAGTATTTTATTTAAAAAGTGTTCAGAAAGACTGCATCAATGATATTTATATATATATATAATATCAATATATAATATCAATATTTGTCAACCAAAGTCAATTTAAATAGCGAGCAAAAATGGGTTAATTGCCATGGATGTGGTGTTTAATGTAGTTTACGTTCAATTTCAACTATTTTAG